TAGGATGAATTTTAATCTATGATGGAATGAATCTTAAGATTAATCTATAATGGATGAATCTTAAACTTAACATATGATGGGATGAATCTTAATCTATGATAAGACAGATCTTAAGGTTAATCTATAATATGATGAATCTTAAACTTAACATATGATGGGATGAATCTTAATCTATGATAAGACAAATCTTAAGGTTAATCTATAATATGATGAATCTTAATCTATGATGGGACGAATCTCAAGATTAATCTATGATAAGACAAATCTTAACGTTAATCTATAATGGATGAATCTTAAGGTTAATCTATGATACGATGGGTCTTGCACGTTTAACAATGACCACCCAAACATCAGACGTGACACACTTACAATCAAGTATATATTAATGTTATGGTTCTTGATTATAGGTTAGTTTTAAACAAAACTGATCTTTAAAAGTTCTCTTAATCTCACATCAAAGCAACGTGAATCTCTTCTTGATTTAGAAGAAACCATTTTTAGGAAAACTTTCATAAATTAGAAGGATTTAAAGGAAGCTAAAGTTTTCATGCTTATATAAATTTTAAGAAATTAGGAATATAAAACTGAAAATAGATTTTATCCTTGTAAAAAAACCAGGTGGTTAAAACCGGGTGTAAGATATCCTAGATGTAAATATTTAAGAAAATTCGGAGGTAGAAACGAGACGTCAAACACGATACTTACGCATGCTGAGACAAATCTGGATGTTTTTTGATAACCGTCCAGGTTGGTTGGTATTCACATAGCGTGTTGTGCTTTGTCGGGGCCAGAACGTTATGTCGATTGTCTTCGGTATGATCACAAAATCTTGCGATCTAACGGTGAAAATTAGAAAAAATAAAATAAAATAAATACAAGGAAAATATCGACACTCAAATCTTTAGCACGTTTGGTAATTACCAAACAATGAAGCCACAAAAACATCATTGTTAGAATGAAGATATGAAGATATTAAGCAAGTGTTCAGTGTGTTTCTGTTAAAATCACGCTGTATAGAGAAGGCTTTTATGGTAGCTTAATATCCGGTAGTTGAGTCTCAGGTGTAGTTACGGTACTTTGAGTGCCAGGCGTGGTTAATATGACGGTATTTTGAATGTCGGGTGTGCATGACGGATGTGTTATGTAAAGTTACTGAGGAAATGTAACATGACGGGTGTGTTATGTAAAGTTACTGGGGGAATGTAACATGACGGATGTGTTATGTAAAGTTACTGAGGAAATGTAACATGACGGGTGTGTAATGTAAAGTTACTGGTGGAATGTAACATGACGGGTGTGTTATGTAAAGTTACTGGTGGAATGTAACATGGCGGGTGTGTTATGTAAAGTTACTGCGGAAATGAAACATGGCGGATGTGTTATGTAAAGTGGAAATGTAACTTTACAGATGTGTTATGTAAAGTTACTGGGAGAATGTAACATGACGGGTGTGTTATGTAAAGTTACTGGGGG